AGGTCAAAGGTGCCTGGGAGTGACCTGGCCTGGGTCCCACTGCCTGGGTCCCAGTGGGCCTGGGGCGGCGGGACGTCCCCTCAAGACCTGGCTTTGGACACTTGCTCGCCTGCTGTCCCCGGCCTCCTTCCCTGGCTGGCTGGTGGAGGTCCGAGGACAGTGCGCCTCTGTGGCCCCCAAGATGAGGCAGCTCCAGGGCAGGGCGTGGCTGTGGCTTCGATCAGAGTCCCCCCAGATCCGGTGTCAGTGGCTGGGGAACCCAGCTCCAGCTGTCCCCGGATGGGAGTGTCCGTCACAGCCAGTGCCCCTTCCTGGGGCCCCTCTGCCTCCAGGTGTCTCCAGCGGGGTGGAGCCAGGAAGACCCAAGGGACATGACCCTGGGCCTCCCCCACCTGGCCTCTGCTGCAGGCTGGACCCCCGCCCCCCGCCCCGGCCTGGCCGAGTCCTTCTGCGCTCTCCCTTCATTGGCTCCCGGGGCCCCTCCTCGGCCTCCTGGGTCTGGCTTCCTGAACTGGGTGCTGAGGGGCTCCTCAGGGTGCAGCACCCCCTGCTCCTAGTCATGGTCTTCCGGCCTGACGGTCACAGGTCACCTGGTTCAAAACATGAGCGTGTCACCAGGGAGAAGAGAAAGACAGGAACCCCAGCAGAGGGGACAGCAAGTTCAAAAGCTTAGCCACGTGGGCAGTGTGGCTCCCTTGGGGACACCTGCAGCTGAGGGAGGCTGGGACAGGGTGGGTAGCCTCAGACAGAGCAGGGATGTTGATAGGACAGGCAGAGACTGGGAGGGAGGGTCAGCAGGGCCAGACCCGCCTGGGGACCCCGTCCAAAGGTATGGGCACCCGGGCCAGCGGGGCGGCCCCCAGGTTGGCTTCTCTGGAGTGACCGACAGTAGCACCCACAAGCCCCTCTCCAGCCTCTCCCGTCCCTACCACACAGGTGCCTCGGCCAGCCCCATCGCCTAGCTGGCTTGCAGGTGGGACACGCCCCAGGACTGCATCCTGTCACCTGTCTTTGGTGTCCCCGGCTACCTCCCCGCCGGCCTGGGTTGGACGCTGCTGTCTTGCAGCACGTGGACCCTTCCGAGGGCCACAGCCTCCTGTGGCATTCAGCCATGGGTGGGTGGAGGCCCTGGGCTCTGTTCCCTGGTCTGCTCCCTCGCTGGGTCACCGTGAGGTGGTGGTTCCACTCCCCTGGCCTCAGTGTGCCCTCCTGGGAATTGGGGACCCTGGCCACCGCCTTATCTCCCACTCCAGTTCCGGTGAGAGTCCCAGGAGAGCAGATAAAGAGGGCTTTGAAGAGTACAAAGAGCCCTTCTCACGAAGGTGCCATTAGTATTGTTACCTTGATGCGGAGATAAGGGAGGGAGGGGGCGCAGTGACAGTTGCCGAGACACCCGAGAGCTGCGCAGCGCTTCCGGCCTGCCCCTCCCCCCACGCCCTGCCTCTCCCGTTCCCAGGGAAAAAGCTGGGTGCTCTAGCGGGAGGGGAGCTGAGCCCGGCTGGCCGGTGGCCAGGCAGCTGCAGGGCTCAAGGTGACCCCAGAATGTGCCTGGCCTGGACTCAGGTTGGCTCTGGCTTCCCCGGTGACCTTGGACAAGGCCCCTCTTCCCTGGCTGCTGCCTTTCCCTGTGTCCCAGGCGGCAGTGGGTAGGTGTCCACGCCAGACCCTGCAGGTTGCAGCTGGGCCTGGGCAGGATGCTTGGTGGTGGCCCAAGACTCGGGCTGAGCTAGGGAGGTCACTGGGGAGCAGTGGAAGGCAGCTGGGATGGCTGCCCTTTCCTGGCTGTGTGACCTTGGGTTCATCATTTAACCTCTCTGAGCCTCAGTTTCCCCATCTGGATAAAAGGTTGATAAAGTCCCACCTCAGAAAGCCTCTGCAGTGGTGGAAGGAGATAATACCTGCATGAACTACAGGGTGCCACTGGGGTCACGGCAGAGGGGAGGGAGGAGGGACAGCTGCCGTGTCCTGGCATGCTCTGGGCTCCTCCCAGATGTGGTAGCTGGAAAAATGCAAAGCATTTTAGGCTGAGCTGGCCCTGGGGTCAGAGGGGTTTGAGGGTAGTGGGAGTGGACAGAGACTTGAGGGACCCCATGTGAACAGAATGTGGGGACCAGAAGGCAGGGTGGGTTAGGAGAGAGACAGGAGAGTTCGCTCTCTGACCAGGGAAGACAGTGACCCAGTGGGAGGAGGTCCGAGGGGCCAGAGGCAGAAGGGGATGGAGGGGCCGGCAGGAGGGAGGGTGGAGGAGGGGAGGCTGGCAGGAGGGGCGTTGGGATGGGAGGAGGTGAGAGGCGGGCAGGGTAGTGTTGAAGGCCCACATGGATACCCAGACGGTCAGTGTCCAGTCCTTGGACTTTCACTGACTGTGTGTGACCTTGGGCAAGTTACTTAACCTCTCTGTCCTAGTTTCTTCCTTCTGCATATGAGGGTTCAGTGAGTGCACACAAGTCCAGTCACGGGTGGAGCCCGTCCCCAGCAGCGTAGCAAGGGCGCTGGCGGCCGTTGTCCCTGGTACTATTACTAATTGCCTTGTTGAGCGGCTGTGTTCCTGGCTGGAGTCGGGCAGGCGGGGCCCACAGGCTGGCCCCCTGCGTTTTGAAGTTCAGGTCTCGACGACCTGGAGTTGGGTCCAGACGCCTGCCGTGTCTCATTAACTTGACCTTGGGCGAGTCGATGCCCCTTCTGAGCCTCAGTTTCCCCATGTGCAAGGCAGGTGGCATCTGAGCGATTAAACAAAGCTCAAGGCACAGAGTAGGTGGTGGCTTTTGTCATTACTGTCCCGCTGCCCTTCAGGGCCCGGGAGGAATTTCCTCCTCAGCCCCATCCTGCTGCCCCTCCCTGCCCTGCCCTTTAGGCTCAGTCCTGGCCTTTTAGGTGGACTTCCGGGCAGGGGGGGAGGGCTGGGTGCTCCCTGCAGGGGCAGGACTCTGGCCAACAGGAACTAGAGCCAAGAGGCCAGGCACAGGGTCCCAGATGGACGCTGAGCCCAGAGCCTTGAGCGGCTCCTTGGTCCTGTGCCAACGTGAGCGATCCCGCGGGAAGTGGCCCCTGGACGTGGGAAGGCAGGTTGAGGTGCTCTGGAGGGAAGTGCGGTAGGAGCTGACCTGCAGTGGCCAGTGTCTGAGCCTGGGCTGAGAAGGGTGGACGGGGGGTACCACTCAACTAGGCTGATCCGGGGCAGCAGCCACCACACAGGGCCACTCAGAACAGCAGTCCCCACCATGAAGGGCGCCTGGCTTCTCCGAGACTCCAACCCCAGGACTTCCTGGCCCTCGGGGAGCCTCTGCTGTCCACCCGTAGTGCTGTCCCTATTCACTCGGGGGCACATGCTTTAAATTCCAGCTCTGTCACCACTAGTAGGAGCGGTGGCTTTGGCTCTCTGAGCCTCTGTTTCTCCATCGGTAAAAATGAGGATAAATGACACCCACCTTCCAGCAGGGGACGGGGAGTGGGCGACTAACACGGCCGACACAGTTCCAGGCCCACAGCAGGTCTCGACAGGGCCCCTGTGGGGTCCCGGGGGCGTTTGCCTGGACATCTCCATGGGGCTCTGTCCAGCCCCGCCCCCATCTCCAGCCTCTCCCCACGTGGGTGCACCCTGGCACCCAGGAAGTGTCACAGTCCTGAGTGACCCCCCTGCTGCCGCCTCACTCCGTCAGTCATTGAGCGAATGTTTAATGGGACCCTAACGGGGAGACCCACTTATCCCCTGGGGATGAGTGAGGCCGAAAGCGTCCGTGGGCTGAGGCCCTGTGGGCTGCCAGAGCCCGGGGTGGGTTGTTTTGGCAACTGAGGGTGAGAGGGTGTGTCTTCCACTCACGCTTCACGTGGTCAGTGCCCGAGAATCTCTCCCCCACAACGATGCCAGCGGCTTGAAATGCCACTGCCACCAGATCCATCCTTTGGGGTCAAGCGCTGTCTAGAACAGACCTTCTTTCAAGACGCCAGCACCCCTGGGAGGCGGGGCCTGGCACCAAGCAGGGCTGGGGTGGCTCCTCCGGGTGGGGGAGTCAGAGGGGGCTCAGAGCTGCCTGGGCATTCCTTGCTGGCCTGGGTTCCCGAGGGCCGGTCCCTCTTGGGGCGTGGCAGTCCTAGCTCTGCCTGACTCAAGTCTGCCACAGGCCACTGAGGAGTTGCTGGAAGGTGACTCACCCTGGCGGGACCAGCCTTGCTCCATGGGACCTGGGTGGGGGTGCGGCCACGTCAGGGTGGCCCTAGGCGGCAGCGGAAGCTGAGCCTTCTCTCCCGGCCCCAGGCTCCCTGGATGCTGGGAACCTCTGGGCACTTCCTCCCCTTGACCCCAGAGATGGCCTCGCAGGCTTCCCAGGGTGACAGGCACTGACGCCACCCTCTCCAGGCCTGCTCCCTTTCCTGGGTGGGGGTGTGGGAGCTGTGGGTGTGGCTGGAGCCCCACAAGTCACACGGCTCTCACACAGGTGACAGCTCTGCTGCAGACCGGCTGTGTGACCCTGGGGCACATCCGGGTCCTCCTCTGCAAAGCGGGAAGACCAGTGTGGCGAGGAGGCTGTGTCCTCCGGCCTGGAGGGAGGGCTCGGCACAGGGCCCGGCATGCAGTGGCCCAGCGAGCGGCTGTTGTCATTAGCAGGGCAGTAGCCGCTGACTACTGACTCCCTGAAGCATGGGGTGGTGAGTGAGTAGAGGCTGGGCACCCTATTTTTCCAGACGCCTCAGCCTCCACAGCCCTCCTCTCTGCCCGCCCCAGTCTCCCCCTCTTCAGAGGGGCTGTGGACATCCTGAGACTGGAGGCCTGATGGAGAGACTCTGCCCACACTTCTGATCTCTGGGAAGGAGAGCCTGCTTCACAGTCCTGTTCTCGAAGCCCCTCTCCTCCCTCCCCCAGGAAGCCCAGGACACTTGCTCCATGGAGTCTATCTCCCTTCAGCTCCCCCAGCTCTGAGGGGACTTCCTCCCAGAGTTCCCAAATCCCTCAACTTGGGGCCATCCCTGACCTCAGAATCTTCTTCTCTTCTAGGAGGAGTGATGGGCAGAACCAGCGCTTCCCTCAGGCACTAGACCTGTCACAAGTGGACTTAGTTCCCTCTCATCCTACTTCACTCTACCCTAAGGTAAATGTCCCCCTCCACACCTACTGCCCCTTTCCTGGCCAGGGCTGGGCAATGATGAAGAATGGCTATTGGTCAGATACAAAATATGTGGGTCGATGTTGCTGGGGTTTAACCCAAAAGGATACCACTCCTGACCCTGAGTGGCCTGTATAATCTGAGAGGTTGAACCCAGGTCTGGAGAAGTGTCCAAGGGAGTGGCTTAGGGCTGGTCTAGGTACAACAGCTGAGTGTCAACTGGCCACCCAGCTCTTGTCTTCACCATGAACAATCCCCTCCACGTCCTCACCTGTGGTCAGGAGAAGGGCAGCAGCTGCCTGGCAGTGCACTGTGCAGACCGAAGGGCACGCCACAAAGCAGCCCAGGCACGACACCTGGCCTGCAGCAAGAGCCCTGTAAATGAGGCTGTTCCTCTTATTACCATCATCAAGGTTTTCCAGCCTCTGATTAGTGCCAAACCTTGGACTTGGCCCCAAAGGGCCAGAAATCAACCTAGCACAGGCCCTGCCCTCAAGGAACCATGGTCTGGTAAAGAGATAAAGGACCGAGCAACGTGTGCAGGTGTGAAGTGCCAGCCAGACCCACCAGTGCTCCCGAGGCCCACCACCGGCTGGCCGAGAGCTTAGTGCTCGCCTGCAGTATCTTGCCTTACTCTCCAGCATTAGTGCTGTGCCACAGCTACTGTCATTAGTCCCATCTTGCAGATGAGGGGATTGAGGGTTAGGAAGGTTGCATTACTAGCCCACAGCCCTGCAGGCTGGGTGTGGTAGGGCCAGGACTGAAGGTCTCCTGCTCTCTAGGGAGGGCACTGTGTAGCTTTACAGCCGTGGACAGACATCCTGCCAGGATCAGATGTTCAGAAAGGTGAACGGGGGTCTTCCCAAGGTCATGTGGCCAGGAAGTAGCAGAAGCAGGATTGACTAAGCTCCTTCCTGATGGCACTGGCCTGGAGTAAGGGCCAGGCTCCTCTCCTGGGTGGGAGGGCAGATGGCCACGGAATGGAGTCCATGTGTGGAGACACCACCTTCATGGGGATCCCAGGCAGAGGTGCTAGGGGTAGCAGAAGGGAGTTCTTGAGACCCTCTCTTGGTTTCTCTGCTTGGTAACCGCCTAGGACTGGCCTGTGTGGATTCCAGGGCTCAGCACAGAAGGAGAGACTCAGTGGCAGCTGCTCGCAGAGACACTGGTTCATGAATGAGGCTCTCGGCCCCTCTCCAGGAGGAGGCCTGGCTGCACACCCTGGACCATGGCTTCCCCTGCTGGGCCTCAGTCATCCTGACTGGGAAGGAGGGTTGCAGCAGCCCATTGTCCTGCATCCTGCCTGGGGTTGGGCTTCCTGTATTAGTGCCGAGCCGCCTCTCCTCAGGCCTCCTGGCCCCTGCCCAGTCTGGTTGGCAGCCTCTGTTTGTATCAGCATAGCCCAGACTGTGGGTCCAAGTCACCCCATCCCTACCCCAGAATCAAGCCTAGTTTGTGGATCATCTTCCTTTGACAGGGAGGGATTCAGACTCAGAAAGGTTGAGTGATTCATCTGGGGTCCCCAGCAAGCCAGCAGTAGGCTGAAGGAACACAAGCCTGGGACACATTCTCCATTTCTCCCCCAGTATCTCTGAATCTGCACCTTTCTAACATTGATGGAACCAATCTGAGGAACAGGTGACCTCCCCAGGGCTTCTATCCTCATCCGTATAATGGGTCTGACAGTTCCTTCCCTACCCACCATGCCGGCACGCAATTGGACATTCTGTGAAAATACTTTGGAAGGCAGAAATCAGGAAGCTGAACTGTTACAGCACGATTGCTGACAGACACGGAGCAGGGACATTGCCTTCTCTTTGGGAAGTTACACTTGAAGAGACAGTGAACTACCCAGGGCCCTCCTGCCCCCTACAAGGGTTTCTCCACTCAGGGGTTTGGAAATCTGCACACAGATACATACCCGGCCTACTTGCACCTAGGTACAGGGGCACAATGACAGACGAAGCACACAGATACAGCCACCCACTGTAAATGTACTCAGGGACTTTCACACACACACGTGCAACAGATACACATGTACACACACACACACACAGGCATTCCCACGCACTCAGAAACACAATATGTCCATGTACACACAGCCAGGTCAGCCTGTATGCACACACCCTCCTGTCCACCTGGAACACAGAGGTCTGGTGATGCAAGCAGGTCTCACCTCCCCCAGGGCCAGTGTGGGAATGGATATTCCTCTGGCTGCATTTCAATGGGTGCCCGGAAGTGTGCAGGCCTGGAAGTGGTTGTGTAAATCAATATTTGCTGCTGTTAATTATTAAAACCAAAGCTACTCTGTGCCTGGAACACACATCTTGGAGTTTCTGCCTGCTGTGGGGCCCAAACCTGACCCCGGGCCAGGTCTGGGGTGGGGGAGGAGAGAGCACACTTTGCTTTCTTTCCAGGATCTCTTGGCCTGGAGGGATGGAGGTGGTGGGCAGCTGCTGGCGGCTCTTCTGGGGAGCTGCAGAGAGGTCTGGTACTGGGCTGGTGGGTAGCCCTGCCCCTGCAGCACCAAGCAGCTGGTTTTGACTTGGCCACAGAACAGGAAGCATTTGCTACTTTCCCAACATCTGTCTGGAGGAGGGGTTTGCAAGGCCCAGCTGCTATACAGTGGCTCTATCAGGTCAGGACACATCACAGGGTCAGCTGGGAGGACCGAAGAGGCTTCATATTTTACTGACGGTTAAACTGAGACCCAGAGAGTGGCAAGGACTCATACCACATAGCAAACTGCAGCAAGGCCACAGCTAGAACCCATATGTCCTGAAGCCCACTTAAATCCTCTCCTCCATACCACCCAGCACTGTGGCAGTCTCCCCCAGGGTAGGCTTTGGGAAGAGGGGGTATAGGCCAGTCAGCCACTGTCAGGCTGGGGAAGAGGTGTGGGGAGAGGGGAGAGGCCCTAAATAACAGCTCCAGGCCCCTTCCTAGCTGTGTGGTCCTGGGCAAGCTATTTCACCTCTCGGGAACAGTTTCCTCATTTGCATAATGGGGATGACATTTGAAACTCCTGGGTTATGGCGAGAAGGTGAGATGTGCAAAGGGTCCGCATTAACTAAGTGCTCACGAAAAGTCCTGTCTCCAGGTAACCTCTCCTCCTCCTGCCCGGCTTCACAGCCTGTCCAAAGTAGCTCGTCAGGAGGCCCCGAATCGGGGTACCCAGAGTCTGGGAAGACCCACCAGACGGGGTGCCCCCGGGAGCCCAACTCGCAGCCAGCTTCCAGCGCGCCACCCGGAGAGCGCAGGCGCAGTGTCTGCGGCCGCGGGCCGGGCCGCACCGGGGGCGGGGCCTCTGTGTCCCCGCCCCGGGCCGCCGCAGCCCCGCCCCGGCCCCGCGCCGCCGGTACCTGGCGCCCCGCCCCCTCCGGGCCCGGCCGCGGGGCAAGCCCAGCGCAGGCAGCTCCGCCGCCGCGGGAACTCGGAGCGCGGAGCCTGGCGCTGCGGGGCCCGGGCCGGGGCGCGCG